AATGCCTTTCACCTTTTCCTTATCAACAAACCTAAAGGTCTCAAAAAAATTATTATCATACTAAGTCCCTCCAAAAAAAAATGGCTTCTGGAGGCTCTGTTATCGCTTTCAAGTATGATGGAGGGGTCCTTCTCGCCTCGGATACGCTGCTTTCCTATGGTTCACTCGCCAAGTGGCCTAATATCCCTCGTATCAAGATTATCGGATCCTACTCCGCGATTTGCGGTACCGGCGACTACGCTGACTTTCAGTATATGTCGTCCCTAGTCGAGAACAATATTATACGTAAGCAAATGTATTCCAATGTGGATGAACTTGGCCCGAGCGAGATCTTTTCCTTTTTGCACCGCAAAATATATGAAAAGCGCTGCGATTTCGAGCCCTGTTTATGTCATTTTGTGTTTATTGGCTGCCGTGATGGTGAAACGTTTTTGGGTGGCGTTGATGACGTAGGAACAAGGTGGACGGATGATTGCGTGGCGATGGGTTACGGCGCGCATCTCGCGATTCCGCTCATCCGTGACGCGCTTGAAAAAAATCCAAACGGCTTGCCAAGAGAAAAAGCGGTGGAACTGATGAAGGATTGTCTTCGCATCGTCTTTTATCGAGAGTGCCGATCTATCAACAAGTTTCAGATAGCGGATGCTACAAATGATTCTGTTTCAATCAGCGAGCCATTTAGTGTGGATACAAATTGGGATTTTGAAGGCTTCTCCTTTGCAAAGACTGCCATTATTTCTTAGAGCTTTGGGGAAAAAAATGTGAAAAGAGAGAAACGTCTTAACGCAAGGAACTGGGGTCGAGCAGAGCTCATGTTCAGGATAAATACAACACTATTATGAGACTGTTTCTGATAAATGATAAGAGATAAGTGTATTTGATGCTGCGCGGGTTTAAGTAAGGGAACATATAAAAAGGAAGCCATATATTCAATCTGTTCATCGCATTTTTGATCAAGCTATGTTATCTTGTTTGTTTTGTTGTGAGTAAACGAAAGGGGCATGATGGTTTATCGCTAGCGATAATCATTTTTTCTGCTTTGTGAGCCACTTGATATGTTCCTTTCCATCTAATACTCTTTTTATCTTCCTCGTCACCATGAACTGCCACAACAAGTGTATATTGGAAAGCTGATATAGTAAGATTGATCAGCTCTTAAGTGGTGTTTTGTTACTTTTTTAAGGGGCCGAAGCTCACAGAATAAAATTTTGCGTTAACAAAAATTTTTAACATATACGTTTAGTTAGCTGTATCATACGCACTCTTATTGTGGTTAAAGAGTTAGAGAAAAGATTCAAGAGCCCCTTTTAAAGGTTCTTTTTATATTCATTTCAATTTTTTGTGAGTATATCCTGCATAGTTGATGGCTCAAGCAAAATTGCATTCTGATGTCGAGCAACTGGTGGCCTCCATTCAGAGCATTGCGATGGAACCAGAAAATCGCCTCACGTTTGTTTCGGAATACGTAAGGAACATCAAGGAATTACATGGAAAGAACGTTCAGGAGTGTGAGAAGGTGCTTTCGATCCTCTTTAACTGTTTAGAAAGCTATGATGCGTCGAGAGGCTCCAACTTGGACACGATTGTGGAGCTGACGGTGCTGGATATTCTCTTTAGCCTTGACCTTTCCGTGATCCAGGTCTCCCTCTGTGATTCATACCTCGGGTTGTGTTTAAACGCAGTGAACGACTTGACGGTGGCGGCCGCGGCGGCGAAGACCTTCGGCGCGGCACTGAACTTCAAGATATCAAATGAGTTTATTCAAACCCAAGTAGAAGAGGCGCTTAAAGGGCTCGAATCGTCAACGCGTCAGACGAAGCCCAAGCAGGTGTGCAGCATCCTTGCGCTGACGGAGGCGGCCGTGAAATACCCCGTGGTGATTCTTCCCAGGTTAGACGAGATTCTCAAACAGCTGTGGAATTGCCTCGCGCTCCAAGACAAGGATGTTCGCTCGCACGCGGAGGTGTTGTTTCACCATGCGACGAAACTCTTGGCGAACCGCCCCCCCTCGGCGCGGGCTCAAGTGTACGAGGAGCTCATTTGTACCCTCAAAGAGAAACTGGATTCCAAACTCTACGAGGATAAAATAGCGGGGTTACTCGCTTTCGAACCAATCGTAACGAACACGGCGGCCGGGAATCGCGCACTGAAGTATGAGGATCTTTCGCTAATGCTCCTACCGTACATCATGGGGAGGGATAATCCCTCTCTGAAGAACGACAATCTTCTGGAGCTGGTCTTTCGCTCGTTGGTTGTCCTTTGTCGCTTCAACAAGACTCTCTTTGTGGCGAATCAGCTGAAGAAAACGGTGGAGTTCACACTGCACGCGGTGCAAAACAAGATCCAACTCAGCAAGGCGCTCAACATGCTCACGGAGATCGTCACCATGGTCGGGAGGGATGAATTTGCCATTTTTTCCAAGGACGCATGCGACGTGATCTGCTATGTGCTCCAAGACTCTAGCACGCCGTGTTGGGAGGCCCTGAAGTGCTTTTCGGTAATTTGTAAGACTAGTGCACCGATTTGCTTGGAGAGCTATGTAGATCTATGTATAGAAAAATCGTTTAGATGGGGATTTTCCCCGCAGTTAATCGAGTGCATGCGGGATATTATCGCCGCGTCCCCTCTGGAATATCGCACAAAGTTGGAGGAATCCCTTTTAGACATGATCTCCATCACGCTTTGCGGATCCCCATTCCGCCACCACCTCACCACAAACAACTATCCCGAGTTAGCGAGCCACGACGAGCCGTCGGAGACGCAAATCTCGGTCGCGCTGAACGCGCTCGTGCAGTTTGGCTTCTCCAACTCCGAGCTGATGAGCGACTTCCTCCGGGATTCGGTGCTCCCGATGATCGACAACACGAGCGCCGCGATTCGGAATGCCGCGATTTACACCATCATGAAACTCCTCATCCCTGCAGGAAACAAAGAAGACCTGAGCATTGCGCGACGGATGTGTGTTAACACGGTGATCTCCCACATGCTCACGGTGGCGCTCTCGGATCCCAACCACACCGTTCGGTATGCCATTATTAGCGCCTTCACCGAGGACTTTTATCCATACCTCAGCGAACCGCAGTTTCTCTTTCATCTCTATTCCACGCTCGGCGACGAATCGATCGATTGCCACGTCGCTGCGGTTGAGCAGCTGTGTAATATGATTAAATACAACCCGTCCTACATTTTTCCCGTTTTACGAAACGAGATGGTGGTTTTCTTGGGGTTTATCTCCTCCGAGTGTAACCCGGTGGCGGTTCAGAACGGGCTTCGACTTCTCGCGGCGGTCTCCTCCAACGCCCCCCAGTTTGTGGTGAACTTCACCGATTCCATTTTAGAAACTTTGGGAACCCAGTTCGCCGCCGGCGTGAGATCGCCGATGCTGCCGCAGCTTTTAATGTGCTACACAGGGCTCGCCAAGGCGGCGCACCAATTCAGCAAAGGTTCCTACCCTTTTAAGCGGGAGATTGCAAGGGTGTGTGAGTTGTTTGATTCCCTCCCGCCCGAGCAGAGCCATCATACGGTTCGTCTGGAGTGCCTGCGCTTCCTGAGCGCGACCCTTGGGCCCCTCATTGATGGGGAGATTCCCTACAAGATGATCCCTCGACTTTACCCCCTTCTCTCCTCAATCGTCCGGAGCACGGAGGAAAGCATAGAAATACGCCTAGAGGCGCTCAAGTGCTTTGGGATTATCGGCGCCCTAGACTCGCGCATCCTACAATCCCTTAGCATTGTGAATAGCGAAAATCCATCCTATGCTTACATAGATGTTTTTAGTCAATTAACCCACCAAAAGTGCTGCTGTGTGGTTCTCCACGCCATCGCAGCGTTGTGCGATCCGACGGATAAACGGCCGATTTCGTCCTCCGTGCATGATCGGTTGCTACGGATGAGCATGCAGACGATCCTGAATATCGCGGACCGCTGCCCATGCTCGCGCGCGGAAATGGGCGTCATCATCGGTCCCCTGACGAGGGTGGTTTGTCAGCTAAAAAGCGGCCGAATGCTGGCTTCCATTATTTACGAATACACCAACATCATCAAATTCATCGGTGAGCCCGTTCTCAAGCACGTCGAGAGCATCTATCGTGTCTTCGAGGATGTGTGGCGGAAACACCTGCCGTATCGATTTCTGGTCGTCCGCATGCTTTCCGTTCTCACCAAGTTCGAGACCTCCGTGAGTGATAACTACCGCTACCATCATACTCTTGCCCTGTCGCGGATTCTCAGCGCGTTCGGCCACACGGACTCCCCGATGGATCTGAAGTACGCGATCTTGGAGTACATCCTACGCCACATCGGCATCCTCCAGGGCTCCTCCGAGGCCGTCATCGGGAATCTTCTTAGCGTCGTTCAAAGCCCATTCACCTCCGTTGATTTCTGCAACGCGGCGGTTACGACGATCAAACTCGTGTGCTCGAAACTCTGCGTGGACGCGCTCGTCGGGGCGATCGTTCGCGGGCTCATTGAGTGCCTCACGCGAGATTTAGCGCGGCCGAACCGCAACACCGCGATTTTCACCAACGTGATGTCCGTCTTCTGCTTTCTTTACCAAGATCGACAGACCGATTTCGTGATCTACGCCGCGTATATCATGCAAACCCTCAAAGCGTTCTCCGTCGTCCACACAGAGTTTGGCAATCTGAACTCCCAAATCACCAGTGGGATGCGGTGCTCGAAAAGCGGCAAGCTCCTCCAAACGGCGGGTGTGGAGCTCTCGAACTTACTCCAAAAGTGCGACTCCGAGTTCGTCAAAAGCCTCACCCGGCAGGCCGACGTGTGGAGCTATTCAAAGCTCTCCGAGGATAATCGAGGTAGTGGTACGAACCTCTCCAGCGATAACGGGAAGGAGAAGACGTTACCGATTAGTGAGCAAAAGATGTTGGCGTATTTGAAGACGGTGCACCTCAGCAAGGAGGATTGGATGCGGTGCTCCGAGCAGTTCTCGCTGGATCTTCTCCAGGAGTCCCCGTTGCAGGTTTTTCGCTGTATTGTGCTCCCCATCTCGATTAACGCGCCGCCGTTGACGGAGAAGTTCCCGCAATTCATGCAGGACGTCCTGCACGTCGCTTTTCGGACGTTGTGGACGTACGCCAGCGCGAATTTACGCGCCGCGATCGTGGAGGTTCTCCGCCTCACCGCCTGCCAGGCGATGGTTCCTTCCACGGTACCCGATGCGGTCGTCGAGTTCCTGCTCGGCCTCGTTGATTACATGGAGCACGTGGGAGAGGGGCTGATGCTTTCTTACACGGATATCTCCGACTGCGCGTGGTATCGCGGGATGTTCGCGCGATCACTCTTTTGGCGGGAGGCGGCCTACCGGATCGATCCTACGGCAACCGCGGAATCCCTGATCACGTTGTATAGCGAACTTCGCATGGTGGATTCCTCGGTTGGGATCTTAAATCAGGCCCCCGAGGCGCAGCGCCGGTTTCTTCTTCAATCAAGCCTCGTGAAGCTCGCCCGCTACGCGGAGGCGCTCAAGCTGATCGAGCAGGAAATGCAAGCGAATACAAGCAGCCCTCGGACGAAATTCTCCAGCTCCTTTTCGAGCCCACACCTCGAATTTGGCTCCCACAACAGCATTAGCCCACGGCAGTGGAATGGAAATGGGGAGAACGCGGAGTTTTCGCACCTCATGCGCGATATCAGCTCGGCCGACCACAAACTAAAACTCAAGACGGAGTTTATTCTCTGTTTGAGCGAGCTCGGGGACTACAACCGGGTTCTGAAGGAATGGAACGAAATCTACAAAAGCTACAACGAAAGTTCCTATGAGGAGAAGAGTTCGTCGATCTTACCGCGGGTCGCTCAATACGCCGCGGACGCATCGATTCGTGTGCAGTCATGGGGAACGCTGAAGTGTGCCTTGGAGTGGATCCCGCCGGAGAACGTCCATCATCACATCTCGAAGGCCGTGTTGAACATCGTTTCGAATAAATACGATGAGGCGATGGAGGCCATCAAGGAGGGCCGGACGTTTCTTCTTGAGAACATTTCCAGCGCCCTGCACGAGTCCTATCTTTGCGCGTACGACTCCTTTGTGGTGGTTCAAGAGTTGACGGAAATGGAGGAGAGTATTACCGCGAAACTCTGGCAAAAGAAACTCGCGACCTCAGAGCACATCGAGACGCTGGCGAAGCGGTGGGATCAGCGCACGCGGATGATGCGCCCGAGCGCGGCGGTCTGGAAGCAGGTGTTGGGCATCCGTGGTCTTCTGATCCCGCCCTCCGAAGACGTCAAGAATCGCACGCGACTTATCCAACTCTGTCGACAGGATAATCTGCGGCAAATGGAAAAGTTTACCCTGGATCAGTTGCTCGGTTATAGCAATCCAACCTACGAGCAACTGACGAGCCAGAACGCGAATCCGCTCGTGGTGATGCAGTACATTTCCTATCTCGCCTCAAACAATGCGCTGGGTAAAGACACCCCTTATGGGGAAGAAGCGGATTTAATCATGAAGGTAATTGATGTGCACACGAAGGCGAGCAACTCGAAAATCATCGCGCGTGCGTACGCCCGCCTCGGGACGATCGTCGGCTCCGAAGAAGCGATCGTCTGCTTCAAGTCCGCGACTTTGTACGATCCCAAGTGGCATCTCGCGTGGCGAATGTGGGCGGAGCTGAGCAGTAAAGTCCTCGATACGCGATACAGCAACGAGGCCTGCATCAACGCCATCAAAGGCTACATCCAGAGCATCCAACTCGGGAAGTCCGACTCGACGTTCCTTCAGGATGTGCTGAAGCTGCTCGCGCTATGGACGCGGCATTGCGATCAGGAAAATGGGCTCAAGGCACTCGAAAGTTGCGTGATGGACATCTCCACCCGCGTCTGGAAGTTGGTCGTACCGCAACTCATCGCGAAGCTCGACTCCGGGAGCGACCGAAGCTGCCGCCTCGTCGCGAATATCCTCACCAACGTCGCGTACGACTACCCGCAGGCGCTGCTGTATCCACTAAACCTCTGCACCATGCCAGACTCTGAGCGGCGAAAGAAGTGGGCGAACGAGATCATCAAAAAGCTTCAGATTCGATACCCGGTGATTGTGTTGCAAGGGCGGCTTATGGCGAATGAGCTAATCCGCATCTCCTCTCTGATTTACGAGCAGTGGTACGATAAACTCGAAACCGCCGCGAACGCCTTTTTCGGGATGAACAATAAGGAAGAAATGATTCACACCCTGCTTTCCATCCACGAAACCCTAGCCCGCACCCCGGAGACCGTGATTGAGGCGGAATTCATCGCGAAGTACAGCAACCACCTGAATGAGGCGAAGGAGTGGGTGGAATCTTACCAGCGAACCCACAACGTGGCGGATCTGCATACCGCCTGGAATTTATACCACAGCGTCTACCGGATGATCAACGAACAAATCGCCGCGAGTGCCTCGCTGAAGTTGCCGTTTTGCAGCCCCAAACTGTATGAGGCGAGGAACCTCGCGATTGGCCTGCCGGAGCCCCGGCCGTTGCAGGAGGAGCGTTACTTCAAGATCGCCTCCTTTCAGGAGGAGATTCTCGTGATTCGAAGCAAGCAACGCCCGAAGCGGATCGCCGTGAACACCGTCGAAGGGCGTACCCAGAAGTTTCTCCTCAAAGGCCAAGAAGACCTCCGGCTGGATGAGCGGGTGATGCAGCTTTTTGGGTTGGTGAACGTCCTCCTGCAGTCCGACTCGCGGAGTTGCAAAAACCTCGGCTTTCAGATCCAGCGCTACTCCGTCACCCCGTTAAAAGATACGGTGGGGTTGATCGGCTGGGTGGAAGGTTGCGATACCCTGCACCAGCTCGTCCAGCGCTATCGCGAAAAGCGCAACATCTGCGTCGAGCTCGAGCTCCGCATGCTCGGCCAGATCATCACCCACGACACCCCCAAAGCGTACGACCACCTTTGCGTGATGTCGAAGGTGGAGGTGTTGGAGTTCCTCGCGGATCACACCTCCGGGCACGACCTCCGTCACGCGATGTGGGCCTTCACCCCGAGCTGCGAGGTCTGGCTGGATCAACGGACGATGTTCACCTCCTCCTTGGCGAATATGAGCATGGTGGGGTATATCCTCGGCCTCGGGGATCGTCATCCGAACAACCTGATGGTGCAGCGCACCTCCGGCCTCGTCATCCACATCGACTTCGGCGACTGCTTCGAGGTGACGATGATGCGGGAGCGCTTCCCGGAGAAGGTGCCGTTTCGCCTCACGCGGATGCTGCGAAACGCGCTCGACGTGTCGGGCGTCGAGGGCGTCTTTCGCTCGGACGCGGAGGTGGTGATGAGTGTGTTGCGGGAGGGCCGGCAGAACGTCCTCGCGCTGCTCGAGGCCTTTATTCAAGATCCCCTCATCTCCTGGCGGTTGTTTAACCACCCCGGGCAGAAACAGCTCTCCTCGACCGAGCACAAAACCATCGAGGAGCAGGCCGAGATCGGGGGGCTCAATCGGCTGCTCTCCGCCGCGCAGGATTCGATTTCGGAGACGATCGAGCGCAGAGGGGGAATCGGCTCCATCGCCATCGGGAAACACCTTCTACGCGAGGAGGTCGATATCGTCCATCAGGGGGTTTTCATGTTCGAACGGGTGAGCTCCAAGCTGCTTGGTTTGGACTCCCTCACACGTAAAACGACGACGGAGTCGGATGTACACACGCAGGTAAGTCTGCTCATTTCGCAGGCAACCGATACCGTGAACGTGGCGCAATCATGGTCTGGATGGTATCCATTTTGGTAAAATAAGGTGCACACACACACAGCTTTGGTTTTTTGTGTGTGTTTGCGTCTTGCTGTCCTCACTTTCCGGTTGATTGTTTTGCTTCAATGCAGAACGGTTGGGTTTTATTTTTTTTACCGTTATCGTGGTAAAGGGGGGAAAAAAATAACGAACGAGTGTATACCTGTATTTAGTTTTTCTTGTTGCGCTAAACGATACATTTTCATGTTCTTCTATTGTCTTTTTTTCTGTATTTATTCATAAATTATTCATTTTTTGTTGCCTTTCCGACTTCAAAAGGGAAAGAATAAAAAACTATCAGATAAAATTTGGTCTGTTCAATTTCTACTGCAGGTATAGTTCGGTTCGTTATTGTTTTTTTTCTTCTTATGGGGGAGAGCGGCTTGGGGTGCACTTAGAACTGTTGTCTCTTATCTTCAACTAAGATAATTTTTTTATTTCATATTATTAACCTGCTAATTTTTGTGGTAGTTTACGTTGATATCAATGCTCAGCTCCCCTATTCACGGTTAGTTCATTTTTGTTTCCTGTTCTTTTCTTCCACTTTCTGCTTTCTTTGTGGTTGATGTTCTTGATCATGTGCAAGTGGGCGTGTGGGAAATAAGTTTGTCTCTGTTTATTGAACCTCACCATTGTCATTCGACAGTAGATCAGATGGCCTGGCTAGGGTCGACGGTGCAATCCACCAATGTAGAGCTCGTCTCAATTATCGAGGAAATGAGGGAAAGAAAGTCCCTGCTCGACGAAAAAATAGCGGAAGACCAGAAAGAGAAGGCCGCAATAGTTGCTGACATTAGCAAACTGAACGCGCGCCTAAAGTCGCTGGACGAACGTTTATCGGGCCGGATAAAAGAAAGCTACAAGCTGGATGAGATGATAAACGAAACATGCACCGGGTTCAACAGCATTTTAGATGCCTCTCAGAAACTATTGTTATCCGTAAAGGAAAAATCGTCACATCTCGACTCTGCCACTCGCGAAAATGGACAAGCGCGATAAGGTATCTTGTATGTTGTTTCATCGTTCCTTCGAATTCAATATACGGTAAATAGAATTCCATAACTTTATTACGTATAGAAATGAAAAATGAATAGGCGTAAACAAAACTACTGTCTAATGGTCACACGTATTACTTCTTCTAGGTAGTACATCCTTTTCTATCACCTTTATTTTCCCTTCTTCTTCTGGCAAGCAAAGGTTTTCAAGAATTCTTAGGCATATTTGTAAGGATAAGAGTGAACTTATAGACATAAGGAAAAGGAAATGCAGCCGCAGTACATTCAGGGTCTCTATCCCCCTTTCAACATGCAACAGCAGCAACCACCTCAGATGCGTGTCGTATCCGACTTCACGCCGGATGCCGTGAAGGAAATGCTCACGAGTATCGCCAATCTTTATCGGGTCGAAACGCGTGAAAAGGCGATTTTGGATCTCTCTAGACATCGAGAAGAGTACGCCGTTCTAGGCCCCACCCTGTGGTATAGCGTCGGGGTGATGCCGATTATTCTGCAAGAAATCGTCTCCATGTACCCTTTGCTGAGCATCTCGGGGCAGGCACCGATGAAGGCCGCGATCAACCGCGCGAGCAGTGTGCTGACGCTGCTGCAGACCGTCGCCCAACATGAAGCGTCGCGGAAGCCGTTCTTGGAATCTCAGATTTGTCTATTTCTCTACCCTTTTCTGAGGGTGCCGCCGAATGAGCGGACGGAGGTTTTACGCCTCACATCGCTCGGTGTCATCGGCGCCTTAGTGAAGTCCGACGACCCGGCTGTCATTACCTACTTGTTGAACACGGAAATCTTCCCACTGTGCTTGAAAATTATGGAGCATTCGGTCGAGATCTCCAGGATAATATCCACCTTTATCGTCCAAAAGCTTCTCCTCTCCGATCAAGGTCTTCAGTATGCATGTCAAACGCCTAACCGGTTCACCGCGGTCGCCGAGGTGTTGCAGTATATGGTGTCTGAAAAGGATGAAAATGGCCAACACGTCTGTGCGACGCGGTTGCTTCGACATATTATCCGTTGTTACCTCCGCCTTTCTGAAAATGAACGCGCGCGGGAGGCTCTTCCGAAAATACTCCCCGAAGAGTTGCGCAACAACACGTTCCACCAATACCTGGAAAAGGACGCGAATATGAAAAAATGGCTGCTGCAACTGTTAGTGAATATTGGGGATGAGGGCGCCAAACGAATTAACGAGATCGCGAAGGTTACCTAAACACGTTCGATTATTTTTGTACTAAACATTAATAAAAAGATTGCTGTCATAGAAGAAGTTTACTTAATCATGTGCGCTGCAAAAATCGCAAGCATCGTTGTTTTGCTTTTAACGATATGTGTATGTGAAAGAGGATGGAGGAGACGATTTGATGAATGTTTGTAGAATTAACGTTTAAATGGGTAGAAAAAATGAGCAGTTGTAGAGCAGTGTCAATGTGAGGGGGAAATGGTATACACCGTGATATTGAGTTTTCAGAATATTTTATGACTCCTAATAATGTCTAGAAGCAGCCATCTGGGCTTTACTTCTTCCAGATCCATATACCCTGAATGGAGTTGAACGAATATTGATTTGGTTAGTCATACTGGTTGAAAGTGTATTCTCAACATTTGGTTTGCTCATCCACTTTTTTACACCCGTCTGTCTCCTACCCCCCTCCCCATTTTTTTTTCGTTTCCAAACTCAGAACTTGTAGAATTTGAATTGTTATGTCAGAGGATACCAACGGCGCCTCCGCTACGGATGAGATGCCCACCCAGAGCAATGTTTACAAACCGTCTCTCACCGTCGACGTTACGACCGATGTATCAAAGGAAGGTCCCGATATGAGCATTAGCCCTCACGCGAGTCAAACCCCGCACGTTTCGACAAACATTTTCGTGGCTGGGATCCCGGCGTATTGGGATGAAAACGACCTCCGTGAGCATTATAAACAATTTGGTGAAATTATTTCGACAAGGGTAGTAAAAAATAGACACTTCGGGTTCGTGATGTTTCGTCTTCCGGACTCCGCGCATGTCGCGATCAACGCCACCCACCTTACTCGACCTGTGCAAAATAGTCCAACCCTGCTCCACGTCTCAATAGCCATGCACGACGAGGGCGTGGATGAGCAACCCAACGACCGGTTATTCGTACGAAACCTCCCGCAATGGGCGACAAAAGACCACCTGAAGCAGTGCTTTGCCGGTTTCGGGACCATCCTGGAGTGTGCGGTCCTAATGAACCCCCTCGGGCAGTGCAAAGGCTCGGGGTTTGTGCAGTTTTCCTCCCTCAAAGAGGCCGCCGCGGCGATTGACGGGCGCAACAGCATCAAAATAGACAACTGGGATCAACCGCTGGAGGTGAAGTACTCCGAAACCGCCGAGGTGCGGCGGCAGCGACAGGAGCGGAATCGCAACCGTCAAAAGAAGCTCATGCGGGCCCCGCGGTATAAAGGGGGCAGCCTACCGATGCCGATCGACTCGCCGTATTTTTTCTCCCCCGCGATCTCCGTGCTGCCCTCCCCGCACGCCGGCTACCCCCTCCTCAGCCCCGTTCCGTTGCCGATGGTTTACCCGCAATCCCCACCGTTGTCGTCCGCGACGGGGCCGAGCGTCACCTCGCCGCAGCCCACGCAGATCATCTACTCACAGCCCCTCGCCCCGGCGAACCCGACGTTTTATTCGCCGCAAAATATGATCGTCCTGAACTCCGCGCCGTTTCCACAGAAAGGGGATCTCTACTTCTCCGGCGCGAGCTTCCTGGACGACCTGTTTGGGATGTTGCTGCAGCCGTTTGGGCAGATTGATAAGATGGAAAGGTTTGGGCAGGAAGGGATCAGCATTCGAATGAAGGATAGCTCGCAGCACCCTTTGATCGCACAGCAACTAAATGGAACTATTTTTGCAACAGGCGAGGTACTTTCGGTCGCCTTATATGCTTAACCGTTTTATGCAATTCCTTATAGTATCTTTTTCTTACTCTTAAGCATCATGAAAATGGAGATTACAAAAAAAAAGGGAAGACCGACAAACCAAAAACACAAGAAAGATATTTTTAAAGGATACATATCGTTCCTTTATATCTATGTGTGCTTCAACTCCAGTTTTAAATTTGAGCTCAACTGTAACATAAAGTATATAAAATAAATGATTGGGGGAGAAAGGAAGCAATCTTTTTCTTTTAGTGAGAATTGTTTTTGTTTCCTCACGACTAAATGACGATTTTAGGGTCGTCAGTATGTATCCAAAGAAAGGTTGTCCCCTTTCCTGCCTCTCGTGTGTATTCACACTGATGCTGCATGGCTATTCTTTTTCCTTCATAAGCGAGTCTTCTATGTGTTTATTCTACTCTTTTCATTAGTAAAGGTCCATATAAAGAGAGCTCTAATGGCAACACCAATTGTCGAAAATCTGGGAAAAGATGTAAGCATTGCAAGTGTTTGGGGTATATTGATTTTACTTTCCTGTATTTCCACCGCGATATGCTACGGGTTGCTAGCCTTGTTCATTTATAGAAAGCTTGTGGCACTGAAGGTAAGTCTGCTCGTACTTGCTCCCTTCTATAGCATCGTGGGCGCGCTTCACGCATTTTTCTATCTTTCCCCCATATGCCTCTCGATTGGGTGTATTTTGAAGGTTTATGGACAAGGGATGAGTATCCTTGATGCCGTGATGTTCTCGTGCATAATGACCTTTGTGATCATTTTTATTGCCACGGCAAGGAAATCACACCTGTACGCTTTCTGAACTCGGCAGAGATGCATGGTACGACGCAAGAAAAGAGAGAGAATCGCATCGACACCCCTTTTTTCTACTCGTTGTGTGCTCATCGAAAGAGAAGCACAGTGTTGTATGGCAACAAGCATTGCCGATTTACATGTCAGAAAAAAAAAATCGTACAAAATCTATTGGTAGACGCAGGCTGGAGAAGCTTGTGGTATCTGTGGGGCATTCCATTCCAAGTACCCACGGAATCAAGTTATGGTATCTCAGAGAAAGATCCAACTGTGTCGGAGTACCCCCAGGCTCCTCCTTCTCTCCTTACAATCCGGCACACAGATTCACCTGACTGCGTTGAAGGATTCTTTGACAAGAATCCAATGGTCCCTCAGTGGTCAATTGACAAGGGAAAGGGAACCGTTTGTTCGATATCATTCCAATATGGATGCGCAACTAGCCTATCGGCATCATTGTTCGATATCGCATGCTCAGATGGATCAACTGCAGACCGCGTGTTCTGCTGGCATGCTGGATGAGTGCGCCAGTGCGGTTGTTGTTGTTCTTTTGCAATATTCACAACATCTCTGGAAAGATGTACTCAGGAATTTTACGCGACAGATATTTCTTATATTGTTGCACATGTATCTTTACTCTTTCCTTTCCGTTTGCTATTGTCTTCATTAGTTTCAAAAAATATTTCCCGACACGATTAGTGCTTGGGCAACAAATGAATCGTCAAATCAGTGGAACTTCTCCATTGTCTTTTCATTTTCACATGCCTCATTGTATGGGCATCTCAAAATTGGAATTCTTCACTTGCTTATGTCAACGAATTTTCGACGATTCCCTTTGTTTCCCTTGAACGTGGCGTAAATACATAGCTTTTACCCCCTTAATGGGAACGGATAAGTTGTGTGAAGACATTGCAACGCTTCTAAATGCAAACGCTGCACTGCAAAAGCGCATCACAGATACCCTGAGGCGGGTTGAGTGGGAGCTGGATTGGGTTGGATCTCTTAGAGTCTCTTTGCGCAAATCCTCGGGAACCCGTAAAAGGGGCCGCGCGTCTGCGGCCTCTGTATTGCAAACCGCTATGAAAAGGTTTCCCAATAACTTGCTGTTGATGAGTGCGCCGGCTAAAAGGAAAAAATGGAGCCTGGCCACCAAACGCTGTCTTTTGGCCATAGCCGACGAATTGGCGGTTAAGGACGAGGTCTCGGTGAATCCAGCGCTATGGGATGAAATTGCAAGGCGAATGCTACGGCAATGCGGGGCCGAGTGGAGCGGCATCGAGTGCTTCCAAGAGTACGCGCGTTTGATCTGTGATAAGCGTGATTTCACAGCGGGTGAGGATGCGATTCTCCACGCGCACATCACCACCCGCCCGAATAATTGGAAAGCGCTCAGCGAGGAGCTCCACGCGCGCTTCGGGTTCCGCCGCCGGCCGTTTCAGATCGCCCAGCGCTGCCGGCAGTTGACGTCGAAGCTCTTCTACACAACCCACCTGCCGGTGGAGACGGTGTGGGCGCGAATTGAGCCCTTCGTGCGATTCCCCGACGCCGATTGCTACCGAATTGCGGAGATGGTGAACAGCAGGGCAAACGCGCGTGCCGATCTCCCGCTACCCCCCAGCAGCGTGAGATATGCCATTCGGTATGGCTTCTTCAAGCAGCAGAAAGATCGAATATTGTATTGGAAAGTGATGGCCATCTTTTGTAATTTTTCCACTCCGTATAAAGAACTGTTTGGATCCTTCCATTCCAAGCCGTACCTCATCTACCCCCAAATATCTCTCGAGGATTTGGCGCGACACTCAAACTCAACCCTCGAGGACATACGAGCCCGCATTGTGCAAAAGCTGCTTGGAGGGAAGGCGGGCTTGCTGAATCATGATTTTGAACAGCTCTCCAACGAACTGTTCGGCCACAATAGAGTTGCGTTAGCCATCTTTCAAGAGGCATGCCGTCTTGAAAGAGATGCGGAACGCGTGTGAGAATTAGAATTGATCTCCGTTATGATTTGTTACCCAGCGTCCGAGCCATGAAACTACTCAACGAAAAAGAAAAGCGGTGTGTTGCCTCTCTTATGTATGCATTCTTCACTCTATTTAATTATTCACCACATTAAATATTTTCCTAAATATTTTCCCTAATTCCACAAAAGTTGCTTCAACTCATCAAAGCTTATTATATAGTGTAAGCATTTTTTTCTCATATATACACTTTTTTTTCAGATTTCTTACCGCCATGGATAGAATCACAGATGAAAATGGGCAAAAGGAGGAAGCCGAAATCCGCATGCGTGATATGCAACGCAAGCGGGAGAAGGAAGAATGGGAGCGAAGGAAGAAAGAGGAGGCGGCAGAGGAGGAGAGAAAGCGAAACGAGGAAAAGGAGCGCCTCCAGGAGGAGGAGCTTCGACAGAAACGGCGGGAGGAGGAATGGAAACGGCTTGGCTCCGATATAATTCAGAATCTTCCTCCTGTTCCACCGCCCATAAAGAGCGATGATGATCCGAATGCCCTCCGCGCGTGGTACTTAGACGATGAGACCTCTAAGCCGGCCCTAACTATGCAAAGCTTCAAACCAGGTCGCAGACAGGGAGCCCCGCCGGTTACGATGAACGATCTACTACAGCTTGGGATTGTTTGTTTCTATATTAATCTGAATGATTTTTCTATTGTTAAACAGATCATAAAAGAGCGACTTTACAAGCATACAGATGAAGTAAGAATATCACAGACGGCAAAAGATGACGCTTTCCTAGAGCGGTGGTACAATGAGCATTACAATGAGGACGAGCAATTGCGTCTCGTCTTAGACGGATCCTGTTACTTTGATATTCGCTCGGCCAGAGAAAAATGGATTCGAATTCATCTGCAAACCTCTCAGTTAATTATTATCCCCGCTGGAATGTATCACCGTGGCACGCTTGATGAGAACGACTATGTCGCCCTATTTCGGGGATTTCAAGAATCCCCCCGTTTCGTACCGATTAACCGCCCCAACGATAACGCTAATGCGCGAAAAGTGAGGCTGAATTATCTTATGAGACTAAAGAAAGGAAATGTAGCGGCCGAGTTGGGATTTCGGCTATAGATTTCCGCTGGGCATTCCTAATTCTGCCATCTTTACGCCAACAACACGCGGAATTTTCGGCGTTGTCACCAGATTCTTTTTGGAAGGGAAGCCCCGTGGGCTAAAAATTCTGATGTAATAACGCATGGTACTGATGTAAATAAACCCCCCCCCGTTGACGAAAAGGCCTATTTAATTCGCTGCAACATCCATTACACCTTCTATTACAGACACACACACACACTCTCGCCTGTCGTGTTTATCTTCCTACGATTCCGCGTCCTCCTCCTCCCCCTTCTCTGCGTCTTCCGGCACCTGGCTATCCTGGGAGCAGTCGCACAGGTTATCGAAGTTATAGTCAAATTGCGACCCATTTATTTCCGAGTCGAGGCCTAACTCATTAATGTTTAGCCGATCTCGCCGCACAAGACCACATTTCTCACATTGCATGGAAGTTATATCATAGAGAGTTTGCTCCCGCGCGCGCTTGCGAGAGGCCTTGAGGTTCTCCTCTATTTGTTTTTTCGAGAGCATTTCGTCGATTTCCATTGAGGCAAGCGCCTCGGGTGATATTTTCTGCTCCACGATCTGGCTGTTGAGGTTATTGACGTTTGCTATGATGCCCATGATCTGATCTTTGAATTCCTCCGCGTCGCTCGCTTGACGCTTCACTGCGAGAACAACGGCCTCTGCATACTTTTCTGCCTCTTCTTTTGTGTCCTTGAAATCATCCATTTTTTCTAGTGCAGAAACTAGGGCCCGAACAGCCTTTTTGTCCTTTGGTGACAAGGCCATCCCTTCTTAAGTATGTATTTTTTTCTCTTTGTTGATTTCAAGGAGAGGGGGGGGGGGGGGGGGGGTAATAATATAGCAAGTAATAGATATTAACAGTGAGTTTATCACTCCAACTTTACTTCGGCAGATTGGAAAATATCCATTGATACGTTCTCCTCCATGAAGGGAAAAATACGGATTTTTTGACTACAATTTGCAGAAACTTAGGGGCCTAAGGAAAACGCCGATGAATTTCTGAAATAATTGATGGAACCGACTCCATTAGTTCTGCTTTTTTTGATCTTTCCTTGAGCTTCACAGTCTGTACAACTGGCTTTTCCCTTGGTTCGTTGTTCTTTTTTCACCATGACAAAACCCTTATCCAACTACTGAACCATATAAGACTAAAAACGAGAGCAGCAACTAAAACTAATATGTTCATCGTGTTTTCTAGTTGCGAAAATACATAAAACAACAATACACTAGAAAAGTCATGAAAGTATGCAGGATTTATGACGGTCCAGGGCTGGTCAATAGTTCCAGACAGTGGATGCAGATTCCGCGCTGTGTACTTCCACCATTCAGCATCCGGCACCCCCTCAGTAGGGCCTATACCATTTATCATGGGTGAAGGCTGGGGCTGCTTGTAGATCGCCTCGTAGTGCGACTTGAGTTTGCTTGACGCGTAGCGGGATATTCGGGGATGTTGATACGCACACCTGCGTATCTCATTATGTTCTAGGACAAGTGTAATGTTTGGATGAACAGCACTAGCCTCATAACAGGTAAGCTTCTCCATGTAGACCTCCGCAATGATATTGGGTTGCGTGATAAACCAGATGGCGATATGTGGACGGTTCTTCCGATAGACAGTAGTCAATGGATGAGCATTGTAACTAGCGTCTGCGTTGACATCGAATGATTTTTGAACAAGAAACCCGAAAATTTCCTTGCCAGTTTCATCTTTCAGATCTGCAGTAGCTAAAGTATAGAAAGGGGACGGGAACGCATCCGTATACCGCGTCAGGTTCACGATATAATCTAGTGCTTTAAGGACTCTGATTTGCCCATGGGAGACACCAATGTGCAGAACTTTTAAAGTGAGGATATCTATGGTCAGTGGCAAGGTGCAAATAGTAGCAGCAAGTGCAAGGAACCATATACTGGTTATGAGTATGATAAAAAAACGCATCATTTATGCTAGTAGCCCTGCAAGAAGATGTTCCTTTTCGTTAAATTGTTTCTTTGGAGAAGGGGGGGAGAGAGGGGGGAGGAGGCACATGGTAGAGAAAAATAGATACTAAATAAACACGAATAAGGTCTGCACTTTTGACGGTGGGGTGAACGTGACAGGAAACAAAGTGAGATGGTTGTTTAAAAGTTACGTGCATATCGAATTTTGTACTGCTAACAAGATTGCAAAAAAAACCGTAAGTAATAATATCTCATGCTCAAATACCAATATAATCCTATGAGTAATTCCAAATGAATAAAAACACATCGCAGATAACGGGTTATACTTTCACCGCTTTTTAAAAAATCTTACTAAGATCGAGCCTCTACCTTTGAAGAGGAAGTCCTCAACCAGGACCGCTACTGTGGTAATGAATCTTGACCGCCCACGAGACCTCCTCCGGCCTCTCAGGGTGCCCTGTATCAATATTCGCGCTCGCTCTTAAGAAACCTTGCGTCGCCACTCCAACAACTTTGTAGTCAAAGTTACCCCCCCAGCCCCTTTGCGAGAGGTCATTCTTAATATATTCCAGAAATGCCTTCCCAACCTGGTCGACGGAGTGGTGGGTTAGGGGGTTGTTTTCAGTGGTCGCCCACACCTCAGCCGGGGCAGTGGCACCCGGACTTTCGGCGTTTTTACCACCAGCGATCTTCCTGTTTTGCACATCTACAAAGTGGGTCCATGCTTGAAGAAGCTCGCGAGCAACCGGGGATTTTTGTACATTTACTAAACTGAGGAACGTGTTAGCCTTGTCGTTGAGGTGCTCCTCAACAGCTCTATTCTTCGTCTTGCTTGCGTTGCAGCCCATTTGAAGAAATATGTTATGGTGAGGAGGAAATAATAATTTAAAACGACTTAGTCCTGAAAAGTAAAAAAATGTCAAAAACAATAGACCTTCCGTAGTAAGGAAAAAGGGAAAGGACGTAAAGAAGTATAAATGTGATGTGCATGGATTTAATTTGATTTGTGTAGATCAGGAAACCCTCCCCTGACCTCCCTATCTATGCGGGGCGTTGAGGCGTCCTACCGGCCCATCCCACGGCAAAAAAAAACGATTAGAGCCCTTTAGCGAGTCGCACCAGTCAAACTTTAAGTATTACCCAAATTTAGCACCCACAGTCAAACTATGCACACATAAACTTTTTTTTTTAAAAAGGGAAATAAATTGAAAGAGTCCCCTTGTGCCCCTCTGCTGTTACTGTGCAAAGTAAATTAACAAAAAAACAATTTTAAAGGGATAAACTAGTCCAACGATTAAACAATAGAAAGCACAAGGAACGAAAAACAAGCAAATGACGAGCTAAGCTTGCTAAATACAAATAGAATGAAAGAGACGCACCCGAAGAAAGTATTATAACTCGTTCTTTGAACTAATTCACATCACTGGTACTCATGACTGGTTCGATTCCCCCCCAAGACGTTCATAAACGGGGATTGGGCGCCCGGGATCCCGATGAACTGCTGCGACCCGTGGAAGACAAACTGCATCGAGCCCATCATGTGCTGCTGCTGGAAGAGGGAAACGTCAGGGGGGAGGTTGGCGAGGGTGACAGGTGGCCCCACCGCGGCGGCGCCGTCGGCCGACATCAGCGCCGGCATCGCGGGCGAAAGATTTCGCATGTAAGACGGATTCAACGCGTGATCCGGCCGCGCGCTGGGCGTGGAATAGGTCGAAGTCGAGGCCTCTCGTTTCTTCGCCTGCCGCCTGGAGGACTCTCGGTTTCGGCGGGAAAGCTTCGTCTCGATCTTCACGCCATAGGGGGAGTGCTTGAGGAGGTTCTGCAGTGGCATGATGGAGTCGCGGAGTTGGGTGAACTGCCCCTCGCCCGAGGCGGTGGAGATGGCGGTTTGGATGACGTAGTTCGCGAAGCTGTCCGTGAGGAGCTTCGGTAGCACCTGCGGCTCCGTAAGCTCGTCCACGAGGAGCTGCCGGACGTCGGGCGAGGCCGTCTTCAGACACTTTTCGATCACGTTGCTACTGAATTTGTTGCAGGAAAGCTCGGCGACGTGGTGAAGCATTTGCCTAATGATATGGTTCGTATAGTCCGTGGATTTCACCCCCGGATTGGACACTCCAAGATCGTTATGGCGATCCAAAATAAACTGAATCACATAGTTGCCAAACGAATCCTGGACAAGCCCCAGAGTATTGTTGAGAACAGTGTTAATCATGGTGGAGTAATAGGGCTCCGGCGCCCATTGCAGGCACTTTTGGACAACACAACAGCCCTGGCGGTTCTTCGAGATCTCAACACACTTCTCTGTTATTTCTTTAAAAATACATTTATGAATCCTATCGAGCATTTCCTTCTGCTCAGGAGTTTCAAGCTCTTTATGAAATTCATTTAGACGACTAGAGGTAACTAACCTCATCAGAACGTGATTTCCGTTGATGTCCATCGCTAGATCCGCCGCATGATCAACAATGCTCCTACTTAACATGTCGAATTCCTCTAGTGTTTGAAGACTGTCCGTAATTTTCTGGGCCACTCGGCTGCCGATGGTATCGCACATAAGTGTAAAAATATCGGCGCTGAGCTGCTCCATAAGCAGCATCAACTCCGAGTCTTTTGTCAAGCGATAAGATTCGGCATCCGCAGCCTTGTAAAGCCGCGCCGGTGTCGTTCCAGTGATTAAAAGTGAAACTATATGCCGAATTAACTCGCTGCCATTGGGATCCATGCAAAGTCTTGGGGCAAGACTGATAGCTTCGTGGATGAATACATTTCGGAAGTGGATCTTGGCATTTACAGCTTCACTACCGTCTGGTCCGAGTTGCTGCACCTGCTTGCACGCATCCGCTACCTTCAAGGCATCCCGCAAACCGCTGGCATCCTTCAGGGAATTAAGAATTGGCCTCCTGAATTTTTCCACATCAGCATCTTCAGAGTTCAGCTCATCGTATATGGGAACATCAGGAGAGCACGATTCTTTGTGCAGCTTGGACTCTAGTTGTTTAATATTAGTGTCAATCTCTGCCAATTGTTTTACTAATGTGATACGCTGTGCATAAAGGGCGGTGACAGCCTCTTCATGAGATGACATCTTATTTGCTTAAAAATTACCTAACAAAAGTGAAGAAATACAAGAGAAGTAAAAGTAAAACGACTACATGTAAGTGGAATAAGTTAGACGGTAAGAAATATTGGTGCAACAATTTCCCATTTAACATACTGGCAATGAATCTTTTTATCTATAATGAAGACATCAATGTTGACTTTAACGGGGTCTATAACGCGCTGCTCAGAGCTCCAACGCAGCCACAGTGGTGGGGGAAATCGGTGAGCTGCCAACTTCACAAAACACCCAACTACATTAAATCCAGTAACCTGAAAGAATGCTAGAGTAGTGCTTTCTTCTGAACACACACACATGCACCCGTTGTTACCGCCGAGGTACTGCATGGATGCTTGGCTGAACAAACTATGGAAGCCATTCAAGACCATTTTGGTAGATCTACAATTAAGTCCGATGAAGCATAATGAAAATCAGATCCGATATGAACCGGAACCACTCGCACGATCCGTTATCCATCTTGCCGCTCGTTACCATAGACGCTCATTTTAAGAAATAATCAGCGGGAATCAAAAGATTCCCCCCACCCCATAGATGCGTATCATACAGTAGAGAGCAGGGTATGAACATGATCGGAAAGCCAGGGAACATTGACGATTGCGAGGGCTCATGGCGCTGGGCTCTTAAAGCAAATGGGTAGGAAGTACAAAAAGATAAAACTCCTTTTATATCAGCGGGTATTCGATATAAAGGGCAGAGGAACGAGGAGAGAGAGAGAAGGCAAAAAAGTACAACAAAGGAAGCGAAGTGTATTCGATTCGCTCCTTGTAAATCTAAGCGCTGCGCGGCCGTTTGGCGAGGCTCCGAGGCGGGGTCGCGGTATTTCGCTCCCCCATCACGCCGGTGGAGGCGCGCGAGCGCGACCGGAAAAGCAGCGATCCGACGCTCGCGATCGCCCCCCAAAGGCCACCCCGGCCGCTATCCACGGGCTCCTCCCTGGGAAATCCCCACCCCTGCGGATGCGAAGAGTGGACACCCGACGTGAGTTCCTCATTTTTCTCGCCCTCCTTACTTCCAAAAACGTCCGAGGAGTGATTCGCTTGGATCGCCCCCCGATCCACCTCGCCGCGGTGTGGGGTTTCTTTCTTACGCGGAGGTTGGCGTGGCGGACGCTGCTTCTTCGCCGGCGGCCGCCGCTGCGTTCGTTTCCCTCGCGCCTTCGATTTCTTCCTCCAGGAGTTGTCTTCTTCCTCTTCCTCCTCCTCCTCCTCGGTAAAGATGTTGAGCTCTGAGGAGGAAAAAGAAGAAGAAGACTCCCCGGCGTCGTCGCTGCTCGCGTTTTGGTGGAGATACTCGCGTAGGAAGGTGCTGCAGCTGCGGAGCGCATCGAGAATACGCACGGCCTCCATTTCGTTTCGCGGAACGGAAATCTTCCCCGAACCGTCCACGAGGAGAAACCCGTCGTAGGAGATTAAAATCGATGGATCGACTTGCAGTGCGCCCTTAGCGAGGTCGCCCTCACCCTCGTCACCGCTCAACTCCGGCGAGGAGGAAATGGGAGGGAGGAAGGAAAGTCGGGAAGGCCGCATTGGGGGGGTGCCGCTGAGGCCTTGCAACACACTCTCACTCTCATCCGCTACGTAGATCAGACGCCGCTTGATGGAACTCATGAGCTGCACATCCAAAATAAATCGTTGAACGTTATTTGATTACTTTTCTAAAGAGAAGAAGCTATAAAATAACAGACTCAGAAAAGTGAGTATTTTTCATCAATAAGGCATAGCATTCACCCATAGGCCTTTTTGGGGATAATTACTTTCTATATGTTTATTTTTCACACTTATTACATCAAAATCACACACGCTTAATCAAAAAAGGGTTAATTTATTAGACGCCCTCCTCTTACCCTCTTAGGAACAATTAGCTTAATTAAACCAGTGAGAAATATATCAAGTACTGCCCTAAAGGGTAAATAATATGAAAAAAAAAAAAAAAGCAATGCCCTAATTCAGAAAGGAGACATACAAAGAGATTGATCCTTTTAGGCGATGAGATGCGGAAGTCCACACTGTGCGCTCACTACTTTTCTCATCTTATCAAAAATTTACATTCCTCCCCGAAGGGCTCGCTGGCAGCGAAGAAGGCCTTGCGAAACGCTCGCAAGGCTTGGCGCCAGTTGCTTTGCAGTGTTATAGTCATCCAACGCAAGCTTCCACTTCTCCATCCCCTCATACGCGATTGCCCTGCGAATGTACGCCTTCACATTCTGCGAATCAATCGCAATCGCGGCGCTACAGTCCTCCGCCATCATAGAGTATAGATGTGTTTGTTGATAGCAGGCGGCGCGATTGGCGTAGCAAACCGCCTTATCCTTCGTCGCCCTCGGCTCCAGTTCAATCGCCCGCGTGTAGAACTGCGCTGCCAAGTCGTACTTTCCTTCAGAAAAGAGTGAGTTTCCGAGCTTCTTGGCATCCTCAAGCGTCTTGCAAGAGGCTGGCTTCGTCGTCTGATTTCGTTTCCTTAGCAAGTCGTTGATGGCCTGAAGCTTATCCATAACTTCCTGGTTGTGCGGCTCCACTTTTAGGGCCTCTTGAAACGTCTTCTGCGCCTCGTCTAGCCGGTTCATGCTCTGCAGAGCCAAACCCTTGCGAAAGTACCCTTTTAACCAGTCCGGGCGCATCTTGATGCATTGCTCAGAGTCCTCCATGGCCTTATCGTACTCCCCTAAGCATTGCCAGCAGGCCGCACGATTGGAGTAAAGACTCCCAGCAGCTTCGGCATTGGGGTTCGTGGCAATGGCTTTGGTATACCACTCAATAGCCTCCTTATACTTTGCGGCTTTAAAAAATTCATTTCCCTTTGCCTTTAAAGCTTCCATCGTAAAAACTTTACTGCGCTTATATACTTACTTGGAATGGACTTTATGTAATAGTGTGTTTGGTCTTAAGTGTTTCCGGGAATATGTAGAAAAGACAAGCAAAGCATACATCATGAAGAAAGAAAAAAAATCAATTTGGGGTATAAAACTTTCTTGAAATAGCATTAGTCATTTGATGAATTAGTGACGCGCATTCACAAGTGTCTGCAAATACAAAGTGCAAATAATGTGGTACAGAGGAGTGGAGAATTAAATGTTGAAAACTGTGAAATACAATAGACCCCTTTGGACCCTGGAAATATCAGAGTTTCTGAATAAATAAACAAATATATATATATATATATATATATTAATGAATAAGAAACAGCGGAAAGCAATCCGTAACACCAATGTATCACGTAAATATTTTGAGCTCGGCATCTTCCTTTGTATGGGCAACTACAAAGCAATAGTGATCATGTACCAAATTCCATTCATCCCAGTCGTCCACCATCTCCAGCCTGTTCAGCCATGTCATGAGGTCCTTCGGAACGGTTAGGTAGAGCTGCCGCATCGACATTGCCTTGACGGATTTGAACCCAATTTCTCTCCACCGCTTTTCGTGATGCGCGGGGGTGGGGAAGTCCGCAATACTCTTCAGGTAGATCCCATTGCTAGACAAATTCTCAATCATCATCCGACCAAACCGATCGTTCGGCTGCATCGCATCGTACGTGATCAACTCGACGGGGGTTTCCGCGCCTAATACGTGATGAAGAGTTTGCTGCAAAAGATCCGTCGCGATCGCGGCCTCGATGTAAATGAAAACCATCTCACCCAGGAGAATTGTTGGAATATCGGGCTTGACGTGTTTACTCAATAAACTCACTACATCGTTAGGCTTCCTTAGATCGCAGTTCAAAAGGTGGTAATGGGAATCTACACAATTTCTAAGAAGCGGGGTTCGTTCAATAATGCTCAGCTTTTCGGCAACAAGATCCTCAAAGTCAAGCTCGAGATAAGCTGACATCTTGACGTCACCCTGACTCTTCAGACGAAAGTAGAGGGTATCCACACCCGCACCGAAACTGATAATTTGGATCGGATTGCCGTTTACGCTCTTTGAGAAATTCCTCACGCATCTCTCAATAGCCGTGGTGCGAAGCCATGTTCCTCTGTTCATGAGAGGGCTATTAACGATAGTGGAGTCTTTGGCAAAAAAGTGAACAAAAGGGTCGTCCAGGTATTTTTTTTCAACACAATGCACCTTCCGAGAGCATGCATCATGTGCAGTCCGCTGTAGCGCCATGACAAAAAACAAAATATAAAGGAACCCTTTCGATTCAAAATTCGACTGTCTCACGGTATGACAAAAATGTTGTCAGGGAAAACGTTAATGATAAGAATTGTGGCTCTTTTCTTTTATAAAGGCTGTTCAACTATTACTATAAAAATGGAGAAGCATGTGATTCAAAACCCATTTATGCATCCATTGAGGTACCCCGTATTCCACATGAGCGTGTCTAGTAATACTCGCACATACGCTTGATTGCACTTTCTCTTTGGTCTGAGAATGGAACGAGAGATCCAAGTCGAGTGAAAATTATTGTTCATTACCCAACGTCACCAATGGCTTCTCGCCCCCAGAGCGAAAAGGGAAAAAAATAATTAACCGCGCGAGATATCGACAAACACCGTGTCTCCTTTAGAGAGTATTTAACGCCTTGATTAGCGAGAAATTTGTCTGTAAACACTCTTCGAATTCTTGTTGGGCGGCTGCGCAGTTAGTATTAGCGATACTACTTTCCAATGAAACGTAGATCGATTCGAAAAAGGGCCTTAATGATGGATAAGGGCTTGAGATGGAGTCAAATACGCCGGAGATGGAAGCCAACGAGCTTCGCTTAGCAAAGCATAGAATCGCCTTGGAGACTATTTGATAATTCAAAGTGGGAGACTTACACGTAATCAGTGAGTTCATTATCGCACTCAGATAGTCCAGGAGGACCTTTTTGTCGGCTACGTGGGAGGACTCTAAATAATCGGATACTTTTGTAGCAACTGCGATACCCACCCTTTGCGCGTTCTTCCGCTCAGACGATAAGGCGTAGAGGGTGGCGGAATGAAGAGAACTTGAACTGGATGAGTTGACAAAGGTTGAAACAAAGGAATCCGCACACATATCCAGCGCCGTGAAGGTAACCTCCTCGAGCTCGGGGTAGAGGAGCGTTTTGGCGTCCATGTTATCCAGTAGGAAGACCAAGGTAGCAACCGTGGTACTCGCTAAGGGCTGCACGTCGTCCTCCGGAAGAAAACAATCCAACGCATTCCACTGCGCGACGGAAACGATGAGATTCGCGATCGCGGTGAGTAAACCAATCCGATCCTTTTCGTTCGCCGCGGCGCGCCACGTCATGACGGTTTGCATGGATTCACAGGATTTCCCCATCACCAACACCACAAAATCCAGCAGCAAGCGGATCCGCTTATTATCCAGAAGTGGCGTACAGACGGTGAACACAACCCGAGCGCATTGAACGCACTCAACAATAAGCTCGTGCTCGTGAAAACGTGAGAAGCTCAGTTGGAGGACGTTGTGTATGGCGGCAAAAAATAAATCGAACGTGGCTTGGATAATGTTCTGCCGGCTCATCGACTCAAAAAAACCTCGCAAGGTGGAGAGGCAATCCAGTATTCTCTCCAAAGGACTCTCGCTCGTAACGGTGAGGACTGAGCTCAGCTCCTTTCCAATGCCAAGTTGGCTGTGGTCTGGCGAGCAGCTGAACAAAAAGGCGAGAATCCGCCCGCGTGTGGAGCCCACGAGGGGGTGGCTGAGCGGCTGATGCACGTACCTCACCAGATGTGTGCATTCCGGCAAGGAGCGAACGTAAGCCAACACGGAGGGGCTTTTATCGGCAATGCTGTCGAGAATATCCCCCACCGAGCGCATCACACCCAAGTCGTAAGGGAAGCCTTGGATACACGCATCGGAGAACTTCAGCGCGAAATCCACCACCCGCGCCCCACCATTAAACGCCTCGGCGTAAAGCAGAACGCAATCCTCACACTCGACATAGGTGCGGAGATACCGATGAATGATCTCCGAGTAGGCCGAAATCACCGCCACGCTGCGGATTTGGAGTGTGGAGAGAAGGCTGTAAAACGAGAAAAAATACTCCATCAACCGCTCAAGGGAGCGGTCATCGTTTAGGGCGAGGTTCGCAAAACACCGCGGGATGCAGGGCTGCTCACCCTCCGCGCTGTCTGCAACAAAAAAGCCGATCACCTTCAATACAATCCATATCCCCTCGCTGATTCTCTCGACAAGGGTGGAGTTCATCCCCGCGGAGACGCCCTGAGCGGAAAGCGACGACGATGAATCCATGAGGCGTTGAAGAATCGTGATGATCGCTGCGCAGCATTCCGATGGGGAGCCCCGGGCGATACGTGCGATGCGATCGAGGTGGGAGTTCGTCAAGGCCTCGGAGACCCCGTTCTCGTCCTCATCCACGACGCACGCGCTCGTTCGGGTGGATAAGAAATCGGAGAAGATGGAATGGCAGCACGTTTGCAACAACGGAAGCGACGTGCCCTCCATCTTCACTGAAAAATCCCGTTCCACGAAGGTCACCAGCCCCACCCAGGCACTCATCGCCTCATCCAAGGACGACATGACGTCCTCGTCGAGGTTGCTGGCATCCCAGGAGACGAAAAACCGCGTCATCTCGGCGAGTTTCATCAACTCGTCTTGAAAACAGGGCTGGAGAAAGAGCGCCGTGTAGTTGGTAACGAGACGGTAAAGCCCATTGGTAAGCGGCGAGAGGAGATGAAACTCCTCCAGGTCGTTCGTCGCGATAATCTTCTCGAGCATATTTATACAAAGGTGAAAGCACGGCCTCACAAACTGAACGGATTCGCTCTGCCCCCACCTCGGGTTCTTAAACGAACACAGTAGGTGAGAAATTTCGGCAAGATGCCGCCGCCTCACCGGGGCGCCGCGCAAAGTGCCTTGATCGAACCACATTCGAAGCAAATCAAACAACGTCGCGTGCGGGCCCGGTAAATCCGCGTTCGGGAACCCCGCGACGAGTAGCAACTCCTCCCAGATCGGATGCGTCACCTCGAAGAGCTCGCACGATTCATCGGACGGGGACTCCTCCTCGAAAAACGCGTGCAGCGGCCAGGAAAAACAGCTGATTAGGCAGCGCAGGCCGGCCTCGGCCGACAGATCGCTCTCATAGGGCGAGCGGAGCATCCCTAAGAGGGTGGTTTTCGCCAAAAGGGGCAGAAACCCCTCCGTGTTGAACAACCCACGCAGGCGACGATTCGGCTCCATCGGCAGCCCGCGGCAGCGCGAGATTGGATCAAAAAGCCCGAACTCCTCCACCGCGCGCTGCACGAGCACGCGGCAAAGATATAGAAACGCGGGAGACGAGTGTGCGGTGGAGGTCAACACGACCAACCCCTGAACCACATCCCGCAGCTCCCCTTCGCTCACCGTCTTCGGCGGCGCCACGCAGCTGAGCTTCAAAAAAATGGCAAAACTGGCGGCGAACTCCGAAACAACCGGCCTCCACGTGGGATGGTTAATCTGCTTCACAAGCAAGGAATCCGCGTAATCCATCAAAAATCGATGTACCTCTTCCTTCCGTGTGAAGCGTAGAGCGGGGTGGCAGATGAGATGATAACTAAGTAATTTAAACCCGACAAAGTGAATGTAGGCGGCATCCAGCACGCCAGGATCGGTGCGCAGGATATCAAACACCCCATCCGCATCGCAGCCTCGCCTCAGCGCGCGCATCGCCTCCTCGAAGCCGACGTGGTTGCCCGCCTTGATGCACCGCACCGCCTGTTGAATCCCCTCTTCCATTGTTCCCGCAGCGCCGATTCACATCAACCAACCCGATCTTAAAGTTAGTAATCTAGTGCTTTCACAGTCTAATTTTGATCCATATATATATATATATATATATATATATGTTTAGACATGCATTGTATTAAAGGAAAAAGCAGCAGGAGAGGGGAAAGCACATGATAACTCGATATTATTGTCAGGAAACGATCAAACGCAAGCTTAAAATAGGGATCCGGACACAAAGAATCCCAGCAGCTCAGTCCAAATTGTGTTTTTCATATTGGGATATTTTTTACTTCCAAAACGCGTCTTTTTTTTAAAGGAAAATGGCAAAGGGGGAAGTAACCTCACTGAATTGTGATCGGTTGCTTCGTGAGCGAGAAGACAAAGTCGTAAAGCTTCTGAAACTCCCCACGCGGATCCCCCAGGTCCTCGACCTCGCTTAGTTTCCATAGCGCACACCTCAAAAATCCTCTAACCTGCTGCCAGTTCTGCCTCGCGCAGGCCTCCGTGCAGCCTTCCTTCCACAACCCCACAAACTCCCCTCCCCATTGCATCGTGGAAAGCCGAAGCAACGAAGCCGAGGGGGCATCCGCGAGCCCAAAGGCAAACGAGCGCAACTCCTCATCCATGCGAGCGCATTCCAAGGGCTCCCTCTTCACGTCCAAAGAAGGCTCCTCCCTCTCCTTTCGCTTTTGGGCGTGCGAAAAGGCCTCGGCGAGGGAGAGCTGCTGCTCCTTCGGCGGCCTCGGCGAGTTCCCCACCTCGGCCGGCTTGAGGGCAGTTGCCTGCACGGTGATCCCGCGCACATCCCGAATCACGATATCGCGAAGGCTGGCGAAGGTGAAGGTCCACATCGCGTTGGATTCGGGATCATCGCGCAAGCCTAACGCCTGCGCCCGCTCCGCGTCGCTGATCCCGCGCGCGACGACGAGCAGCGGGGAGACGGCGCGTTGAATCGCCGAAAGGATCCCCTCCGCCTCGCGATAATCCAAGGCGCGGGGGAGTTTCACCGGGACGTGCACCTCCACGCATCGCCCACGGCCGGCGAATTTTTTCACCCCCCCGGACGCGAGCGGGTGGCGCTCGAGCAGGGTCACGCGAACCCCCTGCGCGGCCATCGAGAGGCGCTGCAGCTTCGCGCAGACGCCCGCGACGAGCTCCGTCGTGATCGACCAGACGTCCTCGACGGTGGTGGGCCGCACGCCGTAGTTGAGGCTGCACCCCACCGAGGCGGGGAGGCCCTTGCCCAGGGCTTTTTGCCCCGCCGGATCCCCGGTCCGGACGACGACGCGGGGGTCCTGGCCTCGGGAGTGGCGAAAAAATCATCTCCCCCGGCGCGCTTTCCGAGCGCGCGCTGCAGCACCGCCTTCTCGAGGCGTTGGACGTCCCCGCAGAGCAGACGACGCCCGGC